CAAAATCTTTATCATCTAAGTTTAATGGCCTTAAAATATATAGCCTAAAGCGTGACGCAAGTGTAGGGATTTTTATTAAAAAAAGAATTATTCAAAAATGTGCTGTAATTGCTGACATCTTAGGCAACAAAGAAGTGTGTGTTTACGCTTTATTGTAATAGTATAGATAACTTCTCATCTTGATACAATTCAGTCAATTATTTCTCTATAATTTTAGAATTGTTTGAACATAAAAGGGGACCTTTTTTAGGCTTACAGCACGTTAATGAAATTACAAGGGTCTAACGGTGAACTAAATGTAAGCACACATTAACTTAAGCGCGTCAACTGTTAATTGAATCCAATTATGAGGCGAGAAATTCTAACGAAAGTGAACATAAGATACCAAATATTTTGCAGTTATGTTTTGTATCATATTTTATATTTCAGAGCGTCGGTGGCTCAGTGGTTTGAACACTTGACTCGTAATCTACAGGTCTTGGGTTCGAATCCCGCCATGTACCAATGTGATTGTCGATTTTTCGAATTTTCATATGTACATAATTTACCCGACGTTCTTACGGTGAAGGAAAACATCGTTATGCCTGCACATATCGGCGAAGAAATTCAAAGATATGTATGAAGTCAACCAACCCGCACTTGGCCAGCGTGGTTGACTATGGCCTAGTCACCCCTTATTAGGGTAGGCTCTACTACACACCACATAGTGAGTACACTACACATAGTGAGCTGGTGATGATGATCATGTTTTTTATGTCTTGTTTAATTGGAGTGAAGTCGATGCAAAACACGTGAACATCAAATTAGTTTGGTAAACATAGAATGAAACTATTTTTTTGGACCTCAGGTAAATGTCCTAACCAAAGACATTTTAAAATATATAGACCACGTAGTAAATAATTTTTTTGAAAGGTACTGTATCAGTTTTAACAGTGGTAGAGCCCGTTTTAATATCTTTACACAAATAGGCCGGCTCGCCCGGTGTAATACCACGACCACACAAAAGACAGGCGTGAAGTGGGAGAAATTCCGCGTTTCGTCTGATGATTGTGGTGCCCGAAGCCCAACTTTCGTCCGTTTTCCTTCCCACCCTTTTCTCATGAGAAAGGATGGGAAGGGAAAGTGGATTTGACGGCGGAGGAGATGCACATAAAGGGGAAAGAACCTCTTTAGGTGCGTCTCCTCTTCCGTCGATTAAGGGTAGACAACGCATCTGCAATTGCGGATGTCTATGGGCAGCGGTCTCTTCACCATTTTGGCGGATTCTAGTGGTCGGTTGCTCGTATTCCACCTTGTCTTAAATAAAAAAAAGTTTTTGAGTTATTTCAAAACATACAATTAAAAATATTTCTATAGATACATAACACTTTTGTACAGAACTATTAGACAAACTATCTTTTACTTTTTAAATAAGGTAAAAATTAATGTATCGTCTAACAAAGAAAAGAAAAAGAAAATCCTATCAAGCCAAGTCTCGGGAGCCGTAAAACAACTTAGTTGGGCTCTTACTTCAAGTTAAGTTGTACCAAAGTTGTACTTTTTGGCTTTGTACTTTAAGACGACTCGTAAAATTGTTGAAGAACATAGAGATTCAAATAATACATAGAGGAAGCATAGTTGACACTTCATTTGAGACATTTTTCACCTGATCTTAACAAACCCTGTCTATCTGATCCTAAAAATCACATGTCAATATAATTAATTGAATTAAAATAAATTGCCAATAGATGTCACTATATCGTATTTAACCTTTTTTTATGTGTCACTATTTGATTGATTTTAAAAACAAAAGATGGCGCTTATTATAATTTTGTAAAATGTTTTATAACATGTCAATATGAGGTGGCGTACTCGACAACATAGTACCTTTCAAAGAAGTTACCAGTAAAAAAATATGTTGTTCACTGTCTAGTCTGTATATTTCTTAGATGTCTTTGTTGGAGAAGCTTCCTTACTTTATTTTCGTGACCAGAATTCTTGTATACTGTTAAACTGTTATACGTGTATCGTGATTGATTTTTCAAAAAACTTCTAACCGTTGAACTCCATTGCATTGAATTGTATGCTTGCATCTTCTCGTCTTTCTTTTGTCAAATTAATGAAAGAGATAACAAGATATGGTAAAACAAAAGACAGTGCCATGTAAATACACTTTTAAGATAGTGTACTTGCAATAAATATAGCTCATTATACTCAGTGAGTAGCTCTTTTATTGGTGAAAGAATTTTTGAAATCGGCCTAAAGTAGTTTTTGAGTTATTTTGAGAAAAATACCTCATTATAATTTTAGTGTAGATTGACAAAGCTTTTAAAATATGTACGAACATCTCTCAAACTATAAAAATATTTGTACAAAGCCTTGTTAAATCGAGTTAATAATAAAAAGGATTTTAAAGCGATGTAAAGAAAAATTCCTTCCGCAGTTTCTGCCGAGTAGATTGTTATTATTACTACGTCATTTACGTAAGACGCTGAGAGAATTTTAAATTCTATACTAACAGGTATCTTGGCCCATTACAGACAATCGTAACTGCGGGTTATCTCAAATGCTCGGCTGAATGCTTTAAAATGTTATAAGGAAATAAAACCTTATTTTCACTAAACGATCCGCCGCGAACAACTGCCGGTATTAGTCAAGCACCAGTGGAAATGCCATTGCTTTAAAAATTCAGATTTTTCCACGCCACAGCAAGAGACATTTTGCAAATTCTTAAATGATAAATTCAATGAAATGTGTATATAAGAGGATGTTTTCGAGTAGCCCCAGTGGTTGTGAAAATAAGGAGTAAAAGGTTAGCGTGGTATGGGCATATTATGAGAAGGGATGAATCGCATGTAACAAGAGGATGTTAGTTATGAATATGGAGGGGTACACCGGTAGAGTTAGACCTAGATAGAGATGGTATCCGACATGGATAAGCATATAGGCTACTTTTTTTAATTCAGCACTGTCAAAATGGCATAACGGGTTGTTCAGCGCTAAAGAAGTTTGCAAGACAGATTGTAGACAATAAATTTCAGCTAGTGAAATATATAAGTTTATTTTCTCATTTATATTAAACTAGTTGTTGCCCGCGACTTCGTCCGTTCGGTATTAGAAAACAGACGAACTATTTAAATAACAATAAACTACGTGCCCCTCGGGAACCGGACATTTTTCGGGGATGAAACTTATCCCATGTACTCCATGTACTCCACACTTTGTTTTATATCTGTGCCAAATTTCAATAAGATATGTTGAACCGTTGCAGAATGACCGAGTACACATTAAAAAACTAAATAAATGAATCCCACGGGAACCGTAACTATTTCCGGGATAAAAAGTACCCTATGTATTCATTCAGATTATGCTTTACATCTGTGCCGAATTTCGTCGAGATCCGTTCAGCTGTTTAGGCTACAATCTCTAACAAACATCCATCTAAACTTTCGCATTTATAATATTACTATAATTAGAGTGTACCATTAGTCGATAGACTAGAAGGGAGATATCCCTTTCTTCTATTTGTACTAATTCTGTTAGAATTTTCAGAACTTTATACCTCATCTAAAATTCTAATGAACTTAGCTTTACATTATCCAGGCAAGTTATTATTGTTTTAAAAGTTTAATAATATTTATCCAAAGAACCCTTTTAGCGTTCCTTTGAAAATGTTAAAACAATTGAAGTTAGTGAAAGCTTTGATCTATTTTTAATTAAATAAAACAATTGAATTATACAGTTTTTTTTGTTTAAATTATTGACATATAGCATTGAACGCTGGCTGTACAAAGATTATAGCCTATTAATTCACTGATAAGGTAGCTTTTTAATGGTGAAAGAATTTTTGAAATCGGTTCACTAGTTTTTGAGTTATTTCAATACATACAAAAATACAAATTGTCACGTTATTAATCCAGGCGTGCGAGCGAGAACGCGGATCAAACGATAGAGAGACACGATCACGATAGACTTAAGCCTTGGGCTTGTGTCGTTATCACGTTAAACAATCGTTCATAAATCGACATTTTAATAAAACACCGATATAAAATGCTGTTTAAATAAAGCACAGAACTAAAACTTTACTTCAATTAATAATGCAAATGTAAAATACAATATTTCATCAAATATGAAGGAACATTGATCATTGAACATTGGAACATTGGATTGATATAGTCATCTATCTATGAAAAAAACAAAGACAACAATATATGTCAAAACAACTGTCATGTCCGTCAAGGCAATATTTATTTATTTATAAAAAAATAATAGTACAAGAACAATAATTCACTGTAATTAATTTACATAAATCTCCCGTGAAAGCTGCGTTAATTAACGAAATAAATCAACTTCTGATTAATACATTTAAAAGATTTAAAAATAAACTGACAAACGGAATAAATGACCTTTTGAAATAAAAACATGCTTGAGATAAAAAATAAAGATAAAACGTATAAAATTATGTTATCTGTTTGTAAAATAGAATATTTTAATACGAAATATGATTTTTCTACTTATAATCCTAATGGCAGGTATTTTGCTATAGGTAAAATGAAAAATGTTTTACGCTATGATGAAGCTGTTCTCGTTTAAAACTAGTAAGCAATTAAAACTCTTTGAACTGCAATAAACCTTGTCTTAAGTTCAAAGTTATTGCTGTTTGCCGGTGTTCGCAATTCTGAGACGTGCTGTTTTATATTTTATCATAGCTATGTATTAGTTCACTAAAAAACATTACATTATCAAAAATTGTTTTTACAAGTAAATTGCATTGAATAATCAACGGTCTGACACATTGTTAATATTGATTAAAGTTGTTAATTCAAATCAGTTCCAAATGTAAATTGAACCTTGTTCAATAATTATATTATGTCAAATTTAATTTTCAAAAAATCAAACAGCTAATCAGCTATAAAAGGATTGTGCGAACTTCACTTACACTTTATTTTGCTGAAACGGAACGCACAAAGTCGGATATCGAAGTGTCAACTGTAAATGTCACGTTATGTCAAAACAAACAAACGATTGGTTTTGCATTTTACTAATTTGGTAAATATTACAAACTCTATGCATCAAAATGTCTTATACTTATGATGAAATATACGATAATATATGTAGACTTTGTTTTTCAAACAACAAAAGTGATAATATGGTGAATTTAATCGACGATTCAAAAAATTTAACTCATTATGCAAAAGCTGTAATGAAATTAACAAATATAATAATATCTGACGATGATTTGCCAAGAAAAATGTGTTCGGTGTGCTTATTTCTATTGAAACAAACAATTTTATTCAAACAGAAATGTGAATCTACTGATCATGAATTTAAAAATTTAAAAAGTTTGAGTAATTCTTTGGAGGATTTAAAGGAAACAGCTGTTCAACATTGGATGTATCAATTGTATTTTCCTAATGAATTAGATAATAAAATTAGTCAAGAAACTAATAGTTCAAATTTGGATACAAAACCAGTATTAAAATGTGAAAGAAAATCAACTCAACCTAACACAATATGCAATATGACTGACAATGTCTCAATTTATACTGAAGTTAATAACAAAGATAATACAGACTATTTACTTGATGTAATTGAAAATAAGTTTACAACACAAGACCAAACATTGAACGACCATCAAAGGAAATCAATCAAGAAAGAAACCAAAAAAAAAATAAAGCGCCCAACTAATAAACCAAACTCCTTAGAGTGTAAAATATGCAAGAAAGTATTAGCAAATCGATTAACATATAAACAGCATATGCAACGTCACACTGGTTGTGATTACATCTGCGAGCACTGCGGTAAAGGTTTCCCCGTTAAATGGGAGTTGAATACTCACACGGTATCATTACACAGTACTGGTGTATACTTACAATGTCAACATTGTCCATTCAAAGCAGCTAGAAAGTTCGATTTAGTAGAACATATTAGAGTACACACCGGTGAAAGGCCATTCACATGTGAGAAATGTGGCTTAACGTTCCGTACACGTTGTGTATGGAAACGACATTTAAAATATCATAAGGGAAAGAATGTACAATGTACACAATGTCCTCGTAAATTTCACCAACGTTCAGATATGTTGGCACATTGTAATAATGTACATGACAGATTATATGTTTACTTATGTAATAAATGTGGTATTACATATGCTAAGTTGGCAACACTGAGAAGACATTTGACAGAAAGACATGGGATACCGAGGGAACAGCAAAGTAAAATGCTAAGGGTGAAAAAAGCATCTATCACTTTATGAGATTAGAAAACAATTTGTATAAAATATTTGAGTAGGGAAGTAGAATTAATAGGAACTTTTATTTGTCAGTTAATTTTTTAGTTATTTACTTAGACTGTGAAATAAGCCCTTAGTATGGGCACTGAGTACTTGACTTGTAATCTACAAGTCCTGGGTTTGAATCCCAACATGTACCAATATGATGCTAGGTTTTCTAATTTCATATGTAAATAATTTACCCGACATTCTTACGGTGAAGGAAAACATTGCGATGAAACCTGGCATATATCAGCAAAGATATGTGTAAAGTCAACCAACCCGCAGTGGGCCAGTATGGTTGACTATGGCCTAGTCACTTACTTAGGGTAGACTCCGAGCCCCTAAGTGGAGACACATAGTGAACTGGTGATGATTGGTATTGCCAGTCTATGGTCCAAGTAACCTATTAGTAAAAAAACTTTTAATGTTTTTTTAAAGAACTTTAAGTGAAGAATTTAGATTTGAGTTAATTATTTTAATTGAATTTTTCATATATCATAAACTATAAATATCTTTATGGAGGGTAGGTTCCCCTTGTCCCTTTCTGGCGACGGCCATAGCATTTAAAATGAAATATAAGTACTTATTACTTTGTACATCTGTAGTTTTAAAGTAGCTCAAAAATTTAATTGTTTAAAAAATAGATTTTTTAAAATGTTTGTAACTATAAGAAGATTAAATAAATAATTATTGAAATCAGTTTTTTTATTATATTGTGAAGTTTATTGAATACCCATTTGTCTCTTTCCAAATAGAATATGACTATTTTTTTGTATGTTGCCAGTAAGGTAATAATTTAAGTCCCTTTCTCTTTACCACCCTTTTCTTGAATGATGATATGATTACGCATTACTTATGTTTACCGAAATCGCTATCTCTTTCATATCTAAACTCTTTCGTTTAAAAAAAAGAGACAACATTATATATGTACGCACGCTTGTAATTAGCAGGATGTGTTTATGCATTATGGTTGCATCGCATTAAGTTAACCTATAGCAAACATTGACCTTTGATTAATTACGTTTGTTTGTATTTACACTGCTTAATTGTTATACCAACACGCGTGAAGTGGATACAGCCAGATACAGAATTTAATTCCCTTCCCACTTAGTATCTAATATCGCTTATCAAATATGTACATTATAGTGTACATTATACAACTAACAACAATATGGATAGAAAATATGAGTCTGAAGATAAATAGTGGGAGCATGCAACTATCGCACAACTGTTTGGTCTCTTTTATTCCTAAGACTTATATGGAGGTCCGCACTTTAAAAATATTTAAACCTAAGTATGGACTAGGGGTGTTCAATATTCATTGATTTTATATTTTATTACTGTTAAAAAAAAGGTGAGTTTAGTTTTGCATTTTTAGGAACACACGGTGAAAGTCGAGTGCAACAGCTAGATATACATGTTAGTGAGTGAAAACATAGCTTTCTGAATCGTCAAAGAATTTTTGAATTTGGCACATTTTTAATTAACTACGAAAACTATGTTGGAAATTACAAATCACACAGAGAAATAAAACTTTCAGTTTATTTTCAGTTAACATCTGACTTTAGTTCGTATTATCTTTGATAACAACGGAATTAGGATATGGAAGCTTTGTTTCATTTCCTGCAACAGCCGACTGCAGACTTGGCATGTCCTTTACATATTTTAATTAAAAACCGTCACGGTTTTGTGACATTCAAACAATGTGTTTGTTAGTACGAAGTTTTACAATTTAAAATGTTTGAGTTTATTTTAAACTTTAAAAGACTAGCTATCGCACGCGACTTTGCTTGGTTTTTGTAAAAAAAAGCTACGTACTCTATGTGTTTTTCCAGACTATCCTCTTGACTAAATTTCATCGAAGTCCGTTCAACAGTTTAGGCTACAAACTTTAGCAAATAACCATCTAAACTTTCGCAATTATAATATTATAATAAAGCGTAAACACACAGTTCTTTGTTGCCTAAGATGTCAGCAATCACAGCATATTTTCAAATAACTCTTTTTTTAATAAAAAGCCCGACACTTACGTCAGGTTTTAGGCTATATATTTTCACGCCATTAAACTTAGGGGGTAAATATTTTATTAATTTCATGCGAATGAAGCCGCACGAGAACAGCTAGTTTATAATAATACTAAAATTAAATTCGCAAACTTCTAGAATTATCGGCTATAGTTACTGCAAAATGTACACAATAAATGTTTTCTTTCGTCCTTTATAGAACACGTTGTGTTACCATTTACAAAATAATCCATCTAAATTCATTTGGTTGAACGAATTAGAACTGAAATATTCAACGTCAAACATTTTGCAAATTAAAACGACTACGGTCGAGTTGACGTTAAAGGGAACCTAAACCTAGCTTCCTTTCATCTAAATATGCACTAAACACTACTCTTGAGAAGCAGGTCAAAAGATATAGTAACGAGCGCCGATGAGAGTCATGCATAGCTGAACAATTTATTTATTTATTCACGTGGATATTACTCTATCGGAATACTCTAAAAACTCATCATCAACTTCCTTCTTATCCTACTCCCGTAGGGAACAACGGGTTTTTATCCTCCACATAACTCCATTATACGTTATCTCAGTCATCACTCGCTTCTTAATCATGTAACCTTTTTGGTCTACATCTACCGGTGTACCACATTCATAACGTTCTCCTTGTTACATTCCATTCATCCCTCCTCATAACATGCCCATACTATGCTAACTTTTTTAACAGTGGTAGAGCCCGTTTTAACATCTCCGCACGAATGGGCCGGCTCTCCCGGTGTAATACCACGACCACACAGAAAATATGCGAAAAGTGGAAGCGATTCGCGTTTCGTGTGATGAGTGTGGTGCCGGAGGTCTAATTTTAGTCCCTTTCCCTCTCCACCCTAAGAGGAAAGGATGGGAAGGAAAAGTGAATTTGACGATGGAGGAGATGCATAGGAAGGAGAAATGTCCTCTTTATGTGCGTCTCTTCCTTCGTCAATTAAGGGTAGGCAACGCATCTGCAATTGCGGATGTTTATGGGCAGCGGTCGCTTTCCATTTCGGTGGATTCAGATGGCCGCTTGCGAGTTTGCCAACTTATATTATAAAAAAAAAAGTTTATAATACAAGATTACTAAATGTCCAGTTCGATTCGGGATGCTAGTAAAATGAACGTAACTAATGTTTCCAACACAGATTACATACCATTAGTAAATAAGGTTCGTTCAACGAGACTTTAACATGTTTGTAACCGTATCTAACCCTCATTACGGCAATTACTTACAATTTACAGTGCGTGTACCTCAATAGGGCAACGAGGGTGAAATAAAGCCTCATGTCAGACCCTTAATTATTCAAATCTTTTGTGGTTTTAAAGGTTTATAGTTATTTATGTAAATCGAAGACCAATTATTGGTGACGCCATTCGTACTTACATTGCGGAGCATTTGTAAGAAAATAGTAATAGCGATTGTCGGTTGTTTTTCAGTTTTTAACTAAAAATCGAGTAGTGGGCACATTCATACGGGGTCATATGAATCAAAGCGGAGACTAAACAGTTGTGCGATATTAGTTCTGGTCACGGTTGCGGGAGTGCACTGGATGCGGGCGGCACAGAACCGGGCATCGTGGCAATCAATGGGGGATGCCTACGTTCAGCAGTAGACGACCTAAGTCTGTTAATGATGATGAGTCAAAGGTGTGCACGACCTCTAACAATTTTTAAACAACAATATTTGCAAGGTGTAATAATTCTGGCTCGTTTTAAAATAGACTTTTTTCTTCGATTTGAAATACGACAGTTTAGATGGATGTTTGTTAGAGTTTGTAGCCTAAACTGTTAAACGGATCTTGATAAAATTGGCACAGATGTAGAGGATAATACGGAAGAATACATAGGCTAGTTAATTTTTCTTCATTCAACGCGGACGGAGGGATAAAAGCTAGATTACAAATTATCTTTTAGTATACTTCAAAATGTCTTCCAACAAGAAGTAAAAAATAACCGCACTGTTGCGGATCCCAGTAATGGACAGCTATATTCCGATTCTCGTTTTAAAACTCGGAACGTCTTACATAAACGACCTCATGATAATAACAATTTACTTGGTAATAGAAACCAGGATGATATTCTAACAAAATTGATTCTAGATAATACCGGTGTGAAATATTGCAATTACACTAATTTACTTCGGAAATGGATTATATTTTTAGTGGAATAAAATTTGGCGGTAACATTAAGTCAGATTTAAAAGAAAGAATATAGACGCGAATATGAGTGAAATTTTAACAGTGGTAGCCGGCTTTAACATGTTTGCAATGTATGGTCGGCTCGCCTGGTGAAATACCACGACCACAGAGTAGACAGGCGTGAAGTGGAAGCAATTCCGCGTATAGTCTGATGAGTGTGATGCCAGAGGCCTGATTTTAGTCACCTTTTCCGCCATTTTCTTATATGTAATAGAGGAGGTAGGGGAAATACTATCTTTATTGCGTCTCATTCTCCGTGGATTAGAGGTAGGCAACGCTTCTGAAATTACGAATGCATATATGCAGTATTTTTAAAATCGGCTAAGTAGTTTTTGAGTTATTTTACGTACAAAAATACAAATCTTTCCTCTCTACGGCTTAACTGAAGTAGAGTTTCGGTGTAGGCATCAAGCAGTTTTGGACTCGCTAAAGTTTTACTAAGTTAATGCACTTGCTTGTTAGTTTTTTTTTTTAAATAAATGAATTCTAATGATTCATTAGTTTGCTAATTATCTGGAATACAAATACGTTCGGTCAAATTACTTAACTAAAAAGGACAACGACCTATTTCCCATGCAAAAAGGATGTAAATTCCGCACAACTTAATGAGGGACTTTCTCTAATTGGCGATAAAAGCCACCCAATGTTAATTTAAAAGTAATTTGCTAGTAATTGCAACATTACTTTTAGGTTTAGCAAAAAAACTTTTATTCTCAGTAATTGTATTTACATTTCTCTGAATGAGCTAGACAGTGTTACGTGCTAAATAGACAAACGATAACAACGAAATTTTACAAAGTAATAGGTAAATTACAACAAATAATGAACATAAAAATATTTCCAAGAGCATTACTTTGTCTAAGCTATCTCACTACTGTCGTGTGATTGTCAATTGTTTCGTAGCCCAACTAAAAATTGAGTAGTGTGTGCACCTCCATATAACTAAGGAATCGTAGCGTGAAACAGTTGTGCGATAGTTTAGTTTAGTCAAAAGTGTGCGCACGCTTTTAAATGTTTTGACAATGGCTACGCACGATCACAATTTCTTACTATTTTTTTAGTAGTATGATGCAATTCTATTTATATAGAAAACAATAAACTGTGGCCTCATGACGTTAAAGGGCTGTTACGTTGAAGGGCCATTCTACTGAAGTGCTGTTATCAAGACGGACGGTTATTGTTAGTTTTTGCTCAAAATATAACTGAAAAATAGTTATTTATTAACTGATTTATTTCAATAATACTTTGCTATATTATAACCATTACCCTTTTAGGCTTAGTTCGAAAAACAAGTAAGTTTTCACGGTTATTTTAAAGACATGAATACATAAAAATATTTGTTTTTAGTCAAGTTATCGGTAGTGAAAGCCGACACTAATATGCAAAAAATAGAAGTA